TTATTAAGCAGCAGATTGGCACACTTTCAGGAGAGAAAATGCCAACTGATTACAGGAGGGGTCTGATTTTTTTGTTATAGGGTTTGAGTGAGATTTGATTAATAAGTTTGAGTGAGTTTTGATTCATAATAAATGAGATTTGATTCATAACAAGATTTGAATCATTTGTAAAAATGCATCAGATGGCCAGTCACGAGGAATAGTTATGCAAGTTCAAGGCACAAATCAGGAAACAGTTGCAAAAATTCAAAACCCATTGTTGCTGGGAAAGAGAGAATGAATGTCCAGAGCCCAGTGCTCCCCCCCCCCCCCCATTACCCCAGGTCACACTGTCCTCCTTTCTCCCTGGGGATTGTTATTTCCCTTTTTAACTTGGGGGTTGTTATTTTTCATATCCTTCAATAACTATGATACTATTTTAGATCAGGTAACATTATAAATAATCATTGTTCTAGAAGTAGTGCTGGTTGAAATTCAGACCAATAGTGGTGGGTCTAGGGATGAACTTTTCTTTAGCTTTTGTAAGATATTTGTATTTCAGAAATGAATGGAGTGCTGGGGATATAGCTCAGTGGTGGAACACTTGCCTAGCATGCACAAAGGTCCTTGGTTTAATCCCCAGTGCTGTCAAAAGAAAAAAAAAAGAATGTAGACAGCAAAAGAAAAAGTGAATAAATTCTTCAGACTTGAAAAGTTTTGTGCTTAACAGAACACTATCAAGAGAACAGAAAACCAACTCTCAGAATAGGAGAAAATATTTCAAAGTCATATATCTGATAAGGGTTAACATAGAATATATAAAGAACTTTCGTAGCTCTGCGGTAGAGTGCTTGCCTGACTGTGTGAAGCCCTGGATTTGATCCCCCATACTGCAAAACAAACAATCAAAAACCATTTTGTTGGTTGAGGTGGTACATGCCTGTAATCCCAGATATTATGGGATATTATGAGGCAGGAGGATTTTAATTTAATGAGACCTTGTCTCAATATAAAAAATAAGAAATTCTGGCAATGTAGCTCAGTGGTAGAGTGCCATTGGTTTCAATCTGCAGTACCTCAAAAACAAATAAACAAAAAAAGAGCTCTTGCAACTCAACACCAAAAAAATGAGCAATACTATTAAAATATAGGTAAAGGACTTGAATAAACATTTTTCAGGGAGCTGTGGATGTAACTTAGTGGCAAAGAATGTGTTTAGCATGTGTGAGACCCTGGATTCAAGCCCTAGCAACCCCAAAACCCAAGAAATATTTCTTCAGTGATATACAGATACTCAATAAGATTATGAAAAATGCTTGACGTCACTGGTGACTAGGAAATATGAAGGCACAATACAAAGAGATGCCGCTTCATACCCACTAGGATGTTTAGAATAAAAAAGTCAAATAATAACTAGTGTTGGTGAGAGGTAGAGAAATAGGAATCCTCATACACTGCTGGTTAGAATATAAAATGATTCAGCTGCTTTGGAAAGCAGTCTTGCCTTTGCTTAGTTACACAGTTATTATAAGACATAGCAAGTCTACTCCTAGGTATTTCCCGAGGGAAATGAAAACACAAAAATTTGTACAAGAATGTTTATGGCATAATTATTCATAATAGACCACATTAGAAACAACCCAAATGTTCAGCAGCTGAAAAGTGGATGAACAAAATATAGTATATACAAACAATGGAATATTATTCAACCATAAAAAGGAATAATGTATTGATACATGCTACAACATAGATGAATGTTGAAAAAATGCTAAATTAAAGAAGCCAGTCACATAAGACCACGTTTTATATTATCTCATTCATATGAAATAGCCAAGAAGAGGAATCTATGTTGACAGAAGGTAGTGGTTGCCTAGGACTGAGGGTAGTGGGTTTAGGACATAAAAAGTGATAGTAAAGGGTATAGAGTTTCTTTTGAAGTGATGAAAGTGTTCTGAAATTGACTGTGGTGATAGCTGCACATATCTACACATATACTAATAACTATTGAATTCTAAACTTGAAATATATGAATTATAAATGAACTATTTCTTAGTTAAAGCCATTTTAAAATGGTGCTGGAAGAATTGGGCATCCATATGTAAAAGAATGTAAGTTGGGGTTTGGGGATGTAGCTCAGTGATAGAACACTTGCTTAGCATGTACGAGGCCCTGGATTTGTCCCCCAGTGACTCCACCATATACACAAATAAATCAGACTTTAGGAAAACTAAAATCTTTCATGCTTTAATGAACAGTATCGGGACTCTGAAAAGAATCAAGTACTGGTACTTTCAACTTTTCAATGTACTTTGAAAACATGTTAAGTGAATGAATCTAGACATAAAAGAACACATATTGAATGAATTTATTTATATGGAATGACCAGTATGGGCAAAACCATAGAGGTAGAAAGTAAATTAGCATTTACCAGCAGCTGTGAGAAGAGGGGAATAGGAAGCAACTGCTGATGGGCGTGGGGTTTCTTTTGGGGGTAAAAAAAAATGTTCTGCAATTTACATAGTCATTATAGTTGCACATTCTTGTGAATATACAAAAACTACTGAACTATAATACCTAAAAGGATAGATTTTTTTAGCTTGTGAATTACATCTCAAATTTTAAAGAGAATGTATACACATATGTATAAAATGTATACACATTTATATAAAATTTCAGGCTGCTGTAACAAAATACGCTGGACTCAATTGTTGTGTTGCTCAGAGCTCCACAAAAGTGAGTTGGACAAGAATCCATTAATCATCTTGCTTTTTAAATAACAGAAGACATGGTTCAAAAGTAGTTTCTGTTAAAGCCTTCTCTGACCTTAGCAAAACTGAAGCCATTGTTTTACCATTTGGAATGAAAAGTACAAAAGGTTATATATTGAAAATTCTTTTTTCTCAACCTTATCCCCTAACAATTTAATTCCTCTCACCAGAGAAAATCACTGTTTCCATGGTATATATCAGGTTGATTTATATAAATTGCCAATATTTTAGTATTTTTGACATGCAGCCATGATAAGTTAATGTGGTTCAACCTAATATCAGTGAAAAACTGAATCCTAACTTCATCAAGTTTTAATTCTATTAGGAAGTATATTTGATAATTTTTGCCATGTAATACATTACTCCTAAATTTACTGATTTAACATCAGAGACATTTATTATCTTATAGTTTCTATGGGCCAGGAATTTGGGAGCAGCTTAGCTGAGTGGTTCTGTTTCAAGGTCTTTCATGAAATTGTAATCAATATATTGATTGGGGCTATAGTCATCTAAAGGCTTAATTTAGGTCTGAAGGAGCAGGAGATTTTTTTTGTGTCGTTATTGTTGTTGTTTGTTTGTTTGGAGATTGGACCCAGGGTACTTTACAATTAAGCTACGTCCCTAGAACTTTTTACTATTTTAAAATTTTGAGACAGGGTCTCACTGAGTTGCCCAGGCTGTCCTAAACTTGTGATCCTCCTGCCTCAGCCTCTTTTCATACCTGAAATTACAGGTGTGTGCCATCTTGCCTGGCTGAAGGAGCAGTTTCTAAGACCATTCTCTCTTGTCTGGAGTTCTCAGGTTTTTCCCAGTCGTTGAAATAAGGCCTCAGTTCCTTACCATATGAACTTCCCAATAAAAAGCTGCTTGCATGTCCTCATACATGCAAATGGCTTTCCCTGAATTGCGTGATTCAAGAGAGAAGGCCAGGAGGAATCCTCCTCAATGCATTTTATGACCTAATCTTGTAAATCACACATTGGCACTTTTATCATAACTTTTATCATAACTTAGAAGCAAGTTGCTAAGTTCAGGGCACACAAAGTGTGCATGCAGAGTCATGGAGGAAGGAGTGACAAAGAATTTATTAGTTTTTTTTCTTGGTACTGGGGATTTAACCTAGGGGTGCTTTACCACTGCCCCAGCCCTTTTTATTTTCTATTTTGAGGCAGGGTCTCACTAAGTTGCTGAAGGCCTCCCCAAATTGCTGAGGTTGGCCTCAAACTTGCTGAGTTGCTGGATTATAGGCATGTGCCACTGCACCTGGCTTACTAACATTTTTTTCAAACCACCACAGGAAGACAGACAATAAGCAGAGTAAATAAGCAAATTATGGAATATGTTAGAAGGTGGTTAGTTCTATGAGAAAAATAAAAAATAAAGCAGAGGTAAGGAGAATCAGGTTATGTATGTATGGAAAGAATGTAGGTTGCAATTTTAATAAAGTGGTCAACATAGGGTTCAATAAGAAGGTTAGATTAGCTAGGTGGGATTCCTCATGACTCAGAAGGCTGTAGCAGGAAGATAGTAAGTTCAAGGCCAGCTTCAGCAATTTAGGGAGGCCTAGCAGTTTAGGAAGACCCTGTCTCAAACTTAAAAAAAAAAGAGAAAGGGCTGGGGATGTGGCTCAGTGGTAAAGTATCCCTGAGTTCAATCCCCAGTTCCAAAAAAAAAAAAAAGGGGAAAGAAAGAAGTTTAGATTAGATCAAAGACACTTGAAGGAGATAAGGAAGTTAGCTAAGCAGATATCTAAGAGAAAATCTGAAACTAAGGGAATAAGGTGTTAGTCATCCAGGTATGACAACAACCATGACTAGCACAAGAGAAAGGTTTGGCAAGTGGTAGGAGAGGAGGTCAGAGAGGTTAATTTGAGGTTGGCAAGAATTGGAAATCATGTAGGAACTTATTTGCCATTTTAAGGACTTCTGACATTTTTTTTATTAGCTTTTCATTCTGTCCACTTCCAATATTAAATGAGATTGTGTGTGGAAAAATGTTTAGAAATCAGGAAAGCAATCTATAAAGGCTAGTTACTTTTATTTGAATATCGTGCATTTTTGTTTTTAGTTAACTTGGCCATAGAAATAGTATTTCATTGTCTTATTGGAGGCAACGAAAATATTTACCTAAGAAAGTAGAAAAGAATGTTGACTATATTTTATTACTGACACATTTTCAATTGGGGACATGGGAGAAAAATTGAGCAAAGATTATTTCCATAATTGAAATTAATGAGTTTCTTATTTTCAACAGGAATGTAAAGAAGAAATAAAAAATGGATCCAAGTACGGGTGTGAATTCTGTTACCATCTCTATTGAAGGAATGACATGCAATTCCTGTGTTTGGACCATTGAACAGCAGATTGGAAAAGTGAATGGTGTACATCACATTAAAGTAAGTTACTCTTGCTGGGTGTGGTGGCGTACATATGCCTGTAATCCCAGCAACTCCAGAGGCTGAGATAGGAGGATTACAAATTCAAGGCCAGCCTTAGCAATTTGGCAAGACCTTGTCTCAAAATTAAAAATTAAAAGGGCTGGGGGTATTGTTCAGTGGTAAAGTACCCCTGGGTTTAATCCCCAGTGGCAAAATAATAATATTATTATTATTAAAAAGTAAGTTACTCTTGCTGGGTATGATGGCACATACCTGTAATCCCAGAAACTAAGGAGGCTAAGGCAGGAGAATCAAATTTTTTAAAATATATTTTTTTAGTTGTAGTTGGACACAATATCTTTATTTATTTTTATGTGGTGCTGAGGATCGAACCCAGTGCCCCATACGTGTGAGGCGGGCACTCTACCAATGAGCTACAGCACCAGCCCAAAGAATCAGATTTTTTAAAAAAGCAGGGAATATAGCTCAGTGGTAGAACATTCTTGGATTGAATCCCCATTACTGCAAATGAAAAAAAAATTACTGTTTAAAATGAATGAAGTAAAATAAATGCAATTGACTATAATCATGTTAGGAAATTACTTCTAACACTGGGATAGAAACAGACACACTGACTTTTGGCAGTAAAGACTACTACACTTCTAACACTGATGCCAAATAAGTATTGTTAATTCCATTAATTCCTCATTAAGAAGAAAAAGGAGAAGCTAAGTGTGGTGGCAAGAGCTCCTTGGGAGGCTGAGGACCTCAGAGGCTGAGGCAGGAGAATTGCTTGAGTCCAGGAGTTCCAGACCATCCTGTGCAACATAGAGAGAGCCCATTTCAAAGTAAAAACAAACCAAAAATGAAGGAAGAAAAAGAAAAATTTTATTTTTCAATTTAAAAACGTTGGAACATGGAATCTTAGCATTACTATGGTTGTATATTTATAGATTTATATTTTATAAGTATATAAATACTTACATACCTATGCTTTTTATTACTCTTAATGTCATACTGAACTAAAATATATGTTCTCATAGTATGGCTTAGGGGGTTTTCTTTCTCTTTTTTTCTTCTTTTTGGTGCTGAGGATTAAGCCTAGGATCTTGTACATGCTAGGCAAGCAGCACTCTGTCACTGAGCTATCTTTGGCTCCTTTTTTTTTTTTTAATCTTTTATATGGTGACAGTGATTTTTTTGCAATTAAAATCGATAGGAAAATGTCTAGAAAATGACTGGTATACCTTATATGGTGTGCCCAAGGAAGAATACATTGCTATTTTACATTTTGAGCATTAAGAACATTCTAAGTGTACTATGGTTTAAAGACACAGTTTAGGTTATAAAAGAACTTCCTGAAGACTGCATGAGTTGCCTGTGATTATCTTTTTAAAAAATATTTATTTATTTTTAGTTGTAGTTGGATGCAATGCCTTTATTTATTTATTTTTATGTGGTGCTGAGTATTGAACCCAGGGCCTCACACATGCTAGGCGAGTGCTCTACCACTGAGCCACAAACCCAGCCTGCCTGTGATTGATTATCTTGAGTATCTTCTTTTGAGCTGGGAGTGGTGGCTCACTCCTGTAATCCCAGTGACTCTGGAGGCTGAGGTACTTCAAGGCCAGCTTTAGCAATTTATCAAGGCCCTAAGCAACTTAGAGAGACCCTGTCTCAAAATTAAAAATAGAAAGGGCTGGGGATGTGGCTCAATGGTTAAGCAGTCCTGGGTTCAATCCCCAGTACAAAAACAAACAAACATCTTTTTAATTTTTTATGTACATGAAAATTATATAAAATTCAACTTTGTCAGTAAGTAAAGTTTTATTAGAATGTAACTATACTCATTTGTCTGTGTATGTGTTATTTATGGCTGTTTTGTCACTACAGCAACAGTTGAATATTTGTGAATAAGATTCTATGTGACACTTTCATTGCTTTATACTGCTGCTTGCCACACTATAAAGCAAAGAGATCTTTGCTGTAGCATTTATTTTATTACAAGTGTATATCATGTTAAAAAAGAAATTAAAAGAGAAATATGGACTTTTATTTTATTCATTTTTTTTGTGTATATTAGTTATTGAAGGACAAAATATTTTATTTATTTATCTTTATGTGGTGCTCAGGATCGAACCCAGTACCTCACATATGCGAGACAAGCACTCTACCCCTGAGCCATAACCTAAGCCCCACTAGCCCCTTTATATATTTTATTTAGAGACAGAGTCTCACTGAGTTGCTTAGGGCCTTGCCAAGTTGCTGAGGCTGGCTTTGAACTCGAGATCCTCCTGCCTTAGCCTCCCAAGCCACTGGGATTACTGGTGTGCGCCATTGCGCCCAGTTGCTAATACCATTTTAACACATTTCTTGCTATAATTTATTTCAGGATCTTACTTAATAATACAAGCATCTTTATATGGATATTCTAATTTTATACAACTTACATGAAATATTAATATAAATCTTATAAAGAAATAAGAGCCCAGTGTAGTGGTGCACACCTGTAATTCCAGTGACTTGGGAGGCTGAGGCAGGAGAATCAGAAGTTTGAGGCCAATTTGGGCAACTTAGCAAGACCTGTCTCAAAAAATACAAAGGATTGAAGATGTAGTTCAGTGGGAGATTGTCATTGGGTTCAATCCCCAGTACCACATACATACAAGCAGCAAAATAGTTTGGTGGCATCTCCTAAACAGAAGAACCCAAAGTGCTAGCAATAATCATCAAAACTGTGTGATACTCAAGGGACAGATACACAAATTAATGGAACTGAATAGGGTGTGCAGAAATAAGATGATTATTTCTTGAGGCTGGTTGTCATTCTGTTGGCCAGAGTAGCCTTGAACTCATGGCTTTTCTGCCTCAGTCTCCCAGTCACTGCTGAGATTACAGGCTTACACCACCATGCCCAGCTGAATGTACAGAAATAAACCAATAAATATGGTCAATTGATATTCAACAGAATTACAAAGTCAATTCAGTGAAGGAAGAATAAACTTTTTAAGAAATAGTGCTGGAAAAACTGAACATCTGTATTCATAAACAAAATTAACCACTCATACGCAACCATATGTACAAGTTAATTCAATTAGGAAAAAGTTTTTTTCACCTTTGATGAGGTAAAGAAAAGTTGTTTCTATGGCTGAGCTAACTAAATACAAAAATCTGCTTTATAATAAGTGTTAAAGTCATGTAATATGATTCCTTAACTTTTTCTTTTATTTTTTTTCCAAAATTGTCTTGGCTATTTTAGTTTCTTTTCCTTTCCATATAAATTTTAGAATCAGCTTATAAGTTTCTACACAAATGTCTGCTGGAATTTTTATTGGGATTTTGTTCATCCTATAGTTTCATTTGGATAGAGTTAACATCTTAACAATATGGAATTTTCCAGTCTATGCATATGGTTTAATTTCCATTTATTTAGATATTCTTCAATTTCTTTTATTAAGGATCTGTAGTCTTCTATGTAATTCATGTACTTATTTTGTTAGATTTATATTTAAGTGTTATATGTTTTTGAATGCTATTGTAAATGGTATTGTTTCTTAAATTTCAATTTCAAATTGAGTTGTTCATGATGAGCTTATAGAAGTTCAATAATTTTCGTATGTTGAGTTTGTATCTTGCAATCTTGCTAAAGTGACTTGTTTAAATCTATTAGTCTTTTTGTAGATTCATTGGAATTTTCTACATAGGCAATTGTATCATGGATATTGAATTTTGTCAAGTGCTTTTTCTGAATTTAGATAGGATCATGTATTTTTTTAGTTTATGACACATTACATTCATTTTAAAATGTTGAAACCGTCATGCTTTTCTAGGATAAGCCTCATTTGATTAAAGAATACGTACTTTTTTGGGGGGGGAGGTACCAGGGATTGAACTCAGGGGCACTCGACCACTGAGCCACATCCCTAGCCCTATTTTGTATTTTATATAGCTACAGGGTCTCACTGAGTTGCTTAGCTCCTTGCCTTTGCTGAGGCTGGCTTTGAACTTGTGATCCTCCTGCCTCAGCCTTCCAAGCTGCAGGGATTACAGGAGTGTACACCACTGTGCCTGGCTTGGAATAATACTTACTTTTTGTTTAATATCTCCATATTTATTTATTTCTATGTGGTGCTGAGGATCGAACCCAGGGCTTCACGTGTGCAAGGCAAGCATTCTACCACTAAGCCACAACCCTAGCCCATAATACTTACTTTTAATTAAACATTTCAAACATACACCAAAGTGGAGAGGCTAGTACAAGAAACCTCTATACCCATCACCTAGGAGAATACTTGCTATTCATTTGCATGCGAATCTCAGCAGCTGAATTTGTTAAGGTGTTTTTCTGATGCTTCTAAGAGTTTGTGGTTTGGAATTACCTAGTATATCTCCACACTAGTTACTTGCCATTCCAAGCATTTTGCTACCCTCCCCCTTTCCCTTATCACTCTTTGAGATTCTCAGTGTTGATAGTAGTATAGTTAGCTTAAGCCCTCTTTCTCTTACTTCATGAAGTTTGATTTGCACCCATTCTCCCCCATTTCTCTCTAACTTGCATCTAAGGGCCCAAAGAAGTTAACAATATCTCTTTCTTGCTAAAATTTTGAGGATTGTTACTATAATAACAATAATGGATAGAAAGTTTTTTCTTAAATATTATGCTACAAATTGCTTAGTATTGAACATGTTTATTTTCACTGCCAGGGCTTAATGAGTCAATCCCCAGATGTGCCATTTTAGTGTTCATTTGTACTTATCATTTTAATATTTAGGTTTTTATCATCTTTAAGTCATCTTTATATTGATGGTGGATCTGTTTGCTGGAATTTCCTATAATTTTGCTTTAATGCAGTGATGGTGAAAGTAAATACCATTTTGGAATTTGATCAGATTGCTTTAATCAGAGAATGGTTTTCCTGTGACAAGTTGAGATCCTCATGCAAAGATATATTTTTTGCCATGGTACTCAGAGCAGATGTTAATATTCTAAAGGGAACTTTCTTTCAATGAACATCAGA